TGAGCTACCGGCATTAAAGGTGTGAGTGAGCGATTTGGCTGCTGCATAAATTAGTTTGCTCTGGAGCCCTCCTTCCTGAGCTAAGACAAAAATGTGTGAGCTGGAGGCTAAAAAACTGTGAGCTAGCTCACACCAACTCAGCTTAGAGGGAACACTGCAGCTCACACATAGCTCAAACTAACTTATGCAGTAGCCAAATCATTCGCTCACAACTTTAAGGCCAGTAGCTCACAAAGTAGGATTTGTGCTCACAAGACTCCACAGCTTAGAGCGAACATTGGTCCACAGCCCGGTCTCTGCATTTGGGGTTTGACCGTCCAACAAGAGAATCGGGGTGGCGCACAACCACCGCCTCCCCCCTCCCCTGTATCCTCGCCCCACCCCCGCGGAGTCGGGCTTGGCAGGGTGTTCTCGGCCTCAGATTGCCCCCCCCCCATCCCTGCCAGCTTCCTGGGAACTGGGATCCCAGCACCGACCTCGAGAGTGAAGTCCGATCGTTCCCTTCACACTAGTTTCTTCATGCACTTTCCAGACGTTTCCAAAGCACGGAAGGGGTTGGCGTGTCTTCGGGATCTGAACCGGTTTAATTCCATCAGGCGGATCCCCCAGTGAAGGAAACCGACCTGAATGCCCAATGATTTCGCCAGACGACTTCGGCGTGATCCTTAGGGCAACTAAAGAGCGGGGAAGGACTTCGCTTCCTTCTCTGGTGGGTAACTGAGCAATCCTAAACAACCGTCGTCAGAAATCCGTCCGTCCCGTCGGGTTTACTCCCAGGGAAGGCTTCTTAGGATCTCGCTGCCAGGGTTAGCTGTGAAGCTGCCTGAGAGCGACGAAAGGCCTCTCAGACTGGAAGTGTAGCTGACTTTTCGCTCACTCCACTTCGCCAACGTCTGGTTCGATCAATTCCGCCTCCTAGATCCGTATGAAAACCGGCAAACCCATTCCCCACCTCGGGAAACCCAGACCTTGCGTGCTTCATGCCACAGCGTGCTTCCAAGGAAGTCAGCCCTCGCCCACTTCACTGTGCTTCATTCCCAAGAAAGTGTGCAGAGAACTGAAACCTTCCGTGAGGATTTGTAATGTGAAGGATCTCTAGGGATGAAAAGGGTTACAGATCCAAGGTGACCCTAACCCTAAACACACACTACTCCATGGTTCCATTTAACTCACTGTTTAGAATTGCACTCTACAATTGGTTTATGTGGCCAAGGTAAAAGGTAAAGGTTCCCTTGCTCGAAAGCCAGTCGAATCCGACTCTAGGGTTGCGGTGCTCATCTCCGTTTCAAAGCCGAAGAGCCAGCGCTGTCCGAAGACGTTTCCGTGGTCATGTGGCCGGCATGACTAAACACCAAGGCGCACGGAACGCTGTTACCTTCCCACTGAAGTGGTACCTATTTATCTACTTGCAATTTCTTGCTTTCGAACTGCTAGGTTGGCAGGAGTATGTGACCAAACATGTGGCCAAATGTGGCCAGACATGGATGATGATGTGTTTCCACGGAGAAACTCTCGGGTAAGTGGGTGGGGCAATCCCGACCTCACTCCCCGAAGCGCATTTGTGAGAACATGCTAATAACCGAATTCTCCACGCATCCCACGAGCATCGCTCTGGTCGCCGTTAACATACAACAAAGTTTTAAAAGGAAACCTGCCAAAGTCCCTTTCTGCAATGCAGCATTTTTCGCAGTAGATGTCGCCTCTAATAAGTAAATAACCTGCCCTCTGAGTCTGTTCATTTAAAAGATACGGCAGCTCTTGTGAGGGCGAGGATATGGGATGGCCTAGATATTATTAATGACTCGAGACGATTTCCCTTACATTTCATTAATCGTCTGATACGTCCCCCTCCCTTCTGGCCATGTTTTTTCCTTTTTGGGGTGTTCAATGACCTCAATGCAAATAAACCTATCAGATGTGGCCAAATGACTGGCAATTTTTGTGAATGGAATACTCAGTGACTGGAGGATGACGTAATTCGGGAGCTTGGATTTCGTGGTCAGTCGTGGATTGGTCGTAGAGTGATAGCCGAGACCGCGATTGGCTGGCGAGTGTTCGCAGGACGCCTACACACTTTTACCCTGGCGGTAGATATAAAAGGGGGTAGTCGGACACTGAAGAACATCACGATTGAGAATCGCACAGCGGAGAGCCCTCCGTGTTCTTCCTGAAGACGCTTTGCACCCCAAGGTAAGCCTTTTCTTTCTTGTATCAATTGATGAATGGAATGGAAGCGTGCTGAGTCCTCCTTGCTGGCGGATAGCTTGCAAGACCCTCGTAGGTATGCTATCAGGCTGCATTTCGGGGGTGCCAAGTTGATGCTAGTTCTTGGACCGTGGATTGAGGGGCAAAATGAACGTTTCTGAATACTCAGGAGAGAGTAGAGCTTGACAGTTATACCATTTGCTCTTGGGAAAATGCATACATGATAAGAAAAGACGGTAGGCTCCAAATAATGTCAAAGAAGTGTCTCTGCTTTGTATATTGTATTTCTTTGTATGGGAAATGGCTCTCTTATTCTTACAGGACGTGTAGGTTTCGGCACATTTCCCGCTTTTTTTTTTTTTTTTAAAAAAAATCAGATCTGGACAATGAGAGTAATGTAAAGGTTACAACGCTTTACACCAGTGCTCCCTACAGTCACCAAGCCAGGGTATTTTTCATGGAGCAGGCTGTGTAAGTTGGTTGCAGCAGGGGCAACCGATAGGCTCCAAATAATGTAAAATAAGTGTCTGTGCTTTGTATATTGTATTTCTTTGTATGGGAAATGGCTCTCTCATTCTTACAGGACATGTAGGTTTCGGCACACTTCCCGGTTTTTTTTTTTTTTAATCAGATCTGGACAATAAGAGTAATGTGAAGGTTACAACGCTTTACATCAGTGCTCCCTACAGTCTCCAAGCCAGGGTATTTTTCATGGAGCAGCCTGTGTAAGTTGGTTGCAGCAGGGGCAACGAACAGTCTGGTGGTGCCACCTCAAAGACGACCGGGGCTTGTGGCATCAGGCTCAGGAAGGGAACGCAAAGGGTGTTTCACGCTCTCCTTCGCGCATGAGTGCACATCGGTGTGTGCGCGCTTGCAGGAAGCGCTGTTTTATCAAACGCGTCTATAACCAGAGAACCAATCCTGATAATGGATGATTCGATCGCACTATCTTGAGACAGTAAGCAAGCTCGTGGTTCGATATTCTGGCTAGGGTCATTATTTCATATGCATGGCGACGATCAAAAGCACTGATATTTTATCGAAATAAGAAATTATTCCCACCTGGTGACACAGGTTTACTTGATAAGGTTTGAAGTGTGCATAATTGATGATCATTTACTTCAACATGACGTTCTGAAGGATTACGGTTCCCTCCCAGGACAGCCTTCGTTTCCATTTAAAACGAAATATACAATTTTTCTATGCACCCGCCTTTGACGCTTAGAAGTCACATATCTCTTGTCACCTTTAACCGTTTTCTTTGACATCTCTTGTTCTCGGAGTGATCTGTGCTCCCAGAGGAACCGGATCTGTTGATTAAGTTCATTTGCACGTCTCCAGTCTCACAGCCGTCCATTCACTCCAGGACACCTCCAAATATAGGAACGGGTGGTGTGACTATCGCGGTAACAAGACCACACGGTCGAAAGAAAGGGACAGTCCAATGTACACTCCAGAAACCTCATGCCATTTTTGTGTCTAGGGGGAAATAACATCCTTCGCAGCCTCATATTTACTCCAGAGTCAGCCTCACGGTGTGGAGAAAGGCTTATTCCTTGGGGGTAGGGGGGATGGGAGTTGCGGCTCAAGTAGCGCGGCGGACGGCAGCGCGGAAGATGGCCACTCTTTAACGCCAGCCTTTCTTGCAGAGAGAACGCCACGGTCATGCTGAAGATTTCCTTTTTTCTCGCCGTCTACGCCTTGGTGGCTTGCCAGATGGATAACTACCAGGCAGTCCCCCTCAGGTAAGAGGCGGGAGGCTGTCGGTGGATACTACTTGAGATGACTCCGAGGCGATGTCGAGACGCTTGGGGGAAAAAACACAAGATAAAGTGATAGACCAGAGAGCGGCCAGGTCCTTTGATCGGAACGGGGGGGGGGGGAGGGGGGAGGTCTGTTTTGGTTTAGAAGGGGACCCAGCTGAGTGTCTCTGTGCGCTCCCAGAAGAGGGAAATGTACAAAGGTCTAAGCAAGAGAATGCGATCTACGGACTTGTTAACAATAAAGGTAAAGGTAAAGGTTCCCTTGCTCGAAAGCCAGTCGAGTCCGACTCTAGGGTTGCGGTGCTCATCTCCGTTTCAAAGCCGAAGAGCCAGCGCTGTCCGAAGACGTTTCCGTGGTCATGTGGCCGGCATGACTAAACACCAAGGCGCAGGGAATGCTGTTACCTTCCCACTGAAGTGGTACCTATTTATCTACTTGCAATTTCTTGCTTTGGAACTGCTAGGTTGGCAGGATTGTTAACAACACCGTTCAGCTATTTCTGTCCTACGCAGAGACGGGTAGTTAAGATGGGGGGGGGGCACTAGAAGAAGAAGAGAAGAGATTGGATTTATACCCCGCCCTTTGATACCCAAGAAAGTCTCAGAGCGGCTTACCAACTCCTTTCCCTTCCCCTCCCCACAACAGACACCCTGTGAGGCAGGTGGGGCTGAGAGACCTCTTGACAGAAACTGCTCTTTTTCAAGAACAGCTCTTATCAGAACTACGGCTTGCCCAAGGTCATCCAGCCAGGTGCGAGTGGAGGAGTGGGGAATCAAACCCGGTTCTCCCAGATTGGAGTCCACGCACTTCACTAGAGTTCCTGCCCTTCCCACTCCCCTCCCCCGACCTTCCAGTGGCGGGCAAAAACCCAGAGGCTCTAATGCGCATTCATGCACTGAATGCAGAAACGGGGATCGTCGTGACTCCGTCATAAATCGTACGTGTGGGTGGGCGCGCGGCAGGACTGCCAGAACCAGTCACACGCGTGTCTGCAGCGTTAACCCGGCGAGCGGAGGGGCCGGTGCATGCCTCCCCCCCTCCTCTCCAGCCCTTTAAGCGGTGACGTTTCCCTTCGTGCTGTTCCCACCTAGACCCGGCTTCGAGTCTGTGACGGACCGAGGGACGCTCGGCGAGTACGAGGCTCGCCGGTTGTTAAACGCGCTGGTGAAGGAATACGTCCAGATGACCGCGGAAGAGCTGGAGCAGGCGAGCGAAGGCAACAGGTAAGGAGAGCGCCCGGCTCGCGGGGCAGGAGTGGGAGTGGGGGGGTCTGCTCGGCGGGCGGAGATGTGGTGTGCAGACGGAGCTCTCGCTCGCACTCCCCGGGACGACCTTCCTCCCGGTTCTTGTTCTCCTCGCGGCCATCGTGATGCCGTTGACTGTGCCACGGGGGCCGTTTAGAGGGTCTGGTGCAAAGCTCCCTCTAAGCCGTGGAGTCCTGTGAGCAACAAATTCTACTTTGTGAGCTACTGGCATTAAGGTTGAGAGCGAGCGATTTGGCTGCTGCATCAATTAGTTTGCTCCGGAGCCGTCCTTCCTGAGCTGAGACAAAAACTGTGTGAGCCGGGGACTGAAAAACTGTGAGCTAGCTCGCACCAACTCAGCTTAAAGGGAACACTGGCTCTGGTGGGGTTTCGCATTTTTCATTTCTTGATTGATTTTCGTTAGTCACTCACACGTGAGTTACTTTCCCTTAAAACAAACAAGGCTGTGAAGTTGAAAAGAGAGAGGGGGTTGTAGGAAAGTGGGACGGCAAGAGAGGTACGTTTTGACTTTCTTCCCTCCACCACCGGTAGAAACGTACAGAGCCCACCCAGTTTCTCCCGTCGTGATAGAGAGTGCATGCCGCTGGGAGACAGGATGGAGGCGACTGGGGGGGGGCGAGGGCCAGCCTTTCCGTGCACGCAGCGCCCCCTTCCCTCTCGAGGCCGAGGCTTGCAACTGCACTCGCACAATGAACTCTCCTTCGCAAAGCATGATGATGAATCACAGCATGCCAGAGGAGATGAATTGTCCACAGCATGCCAGAGGAGATGAATTGTCCCCCCCCCGGCCGGGATTGCTAATGACCAGCATCCACCCACATCCTTCCCCGCCCCCTCCAAACCCCCCACAACAACTAACACGCCTGCTTGAACGACTGGAGGCAACTCACGTCCTTCTCCCCATTTCCCTTCTGGTTGACCTATTGCATGGTAACGCGCGGGAGTTGCAGAGGGGTCGTTTCATTTGCCTACTGATAACATGTTGTCTCTGGTTGTGGTCTCGTTAAGGCTGGAGGGGCTGGGGGTAAGGCATGACCGTGCATGGTTTTCTGTTACTGGTTTGGCATGTTTTTCCCCTTTGCAGCTTGGATAGACCTATTTCCAAACGCTGTGCCAACCTGAGTACTTGTGTTTTGGGCAAACTGTCTCAAGAATTGCACAAGTTGCAAACTTACCCTCGTACTGACGTCGGGGCTGGAACGCCTGGCAAGAAAAGGAATGTGCTGAATGACCCGGAGAGCGAACGCTATGCAAACTATGCGGAAGCCCTCGGAAGCAACTAGATACGCAGACGTCCTCTCCTCCTCCTCCTTTTCTTTTCCTTCTTTTAAAAACTTGATGCATGTGGATCTAACCTTGATAGCTAACTTTCTGTTATGTTCTTTTGAGTCTATTTTGGAGAGGGCTTGCTGGAGTGGAACGTCAGGTTAGGAAGTTGAGGAACAGGACACACATATACCATGTTGGGGCTGGGGGCTGGGGGGGAGGGGTTAGGGGAGAAATATATACCAAATCCAATGAATTAGAATAAGTAGCATTTTGCCTCGAGATTTCAACTGGTTTCCCTAGATGTTTATTTTACAACTAATAACCTTCTGATTTCTGGCTACTCACTGTAAAAAAATAAATAAATATTTATTTCATGCCTGCCCATGCAGCTGTTCAATAAACCTATTTTTCTATAAGGATCAGGTCTATTTTCTAATTATGAGTTATTTCTTAATGAATCACTTGTATCTTCATTGTAGGGGTTCTAGGCATAGCTTTAACAGTTTCTCAGCACAGGAGAAAAGTCACATAAGGTGAAAGTTTGCTTCAGTAATTTTTTTTTCAGACAGTAAAAATCTGCTCTGTGCAGTATCATGCCTATGTGCGCCAATGAAGTCAGTGAGAAAGTTCTCATTGATTTTAATGCCTTTTCACCATCTATTCAGTCACTACATATCATAAAACACAATACCAAATTTGCCAATATTAGAACTTACACCTAGTAACAAATGTGTTATTGTGCTGGAATTTATCCAGGTAAGAACTTTAATATTTTATTCCTATTTAATTTGCATTTTATTGCTTGAATCTGTGTGGTATACAGGAGAAACTTAGAATGGGAGCGTTTACATATACCTATTTTTTAGAACTTGATGGACATTCCAATCCCTAGCATCTCCAGTTAAAAGGATCTGGCACTGAAGTCTTTTTCTTATATTGTTTGCATCATTAAATATAGAAGTTGAATAGTTTTCTATCAATGACGCAGGCCTTAATTGTGGGTAGATCAAATCAATGCCTGATCTCAAGGATTGGGTTAGATTAAAGGTTGCAATCTCACCCATGTTTACCTGAAGTATCAAAGTGATTTACTTCTGAATAAATGTAACTGAATCAGACTGAAGTCAGAATTCCTTTTCAAGTTCTAAACTACTGTTATTTGCTGATACTAATTAGGCTCACAGACTGTTCATTGTTGTAAAAATAGAAGAATGAGGCCTCAACAATATTTTGGAACAGAACTAGACACTTGCAAGAAAGTATAAAGCAAATGTCATAGCTATTAAAGCAATGGAAGTCCACTATGATTTTGAAGCTAAGAGAACATAAAAAGGTAAAGGTTCCCTTGCTCGAAAGCCAGTTGAATCCGAAGAGCCTGCACTGTCCAAAGACGTTTCCGTGGTCATGTGGCCGGCATGACTAAACACCAAGGTGCACGGAACGCTGTTACATTCCCACTGAAGTGGTACCTATTTATCTACTTGCAATTTCTTGCTTTCAAACTGCTAGGTTGGCAGGAGCTGGAACTAGAGACGGGAGCTCACTCCGTCATGTGGCACCCGGGTCTCGAACTGCTGAACTACCGACCTTCCATAGCCTGCAGTTCAGCATCTTAACCACTTGAGCCACCGCAATCCTTTAGATGTATTAATGTTTGTATACAATAATAATATATAAATAAGATGCTTTTGGAAACAAAAGTTGGTACTTGAGACAATAACTTTTAACTGTTTATTTGGAAAAGCAGTATAACAGCACAGAAGAGGGCGTGTAACACGGCAACCTGTGTGACCCATCGCTTGGCAGACTTCCTGAGTAGGTCAGGAGGAGTGGGCAAGAGCAACTTTGTACCTACCAACGTGGGAGCAAAAGCTTTTGGCAGGCGAAGAAGAAATGTTCAGATGTAATCTGCTAAATGACCCCTGGAATATGGTAAACACCTCCTAGGCCTCAGTCGGCAGCATCAGTGATACTGATTTATATACATCTCAATCCATAGTTTGATGATTTATGTAGTATGAAACCTGTATCTTATTTAAATGAGAAACCAAGCCTCCAATGCACTCAGGGGCTTCAGGATTTCTCTTTCTTTTCAATCGATAAACTGCACTTTTTTTTTTTTTGCAAATTGGATGGCTATTATCTGATAAAGCAATTGGAAGACAATGCAATTGTGGCCATATTTGACCTTTAATGTTTTCTGGCATATGCATGGCAGAAATCAATATCTTTATGTCTTGATGTGCAGGCTTAATAGTCTACAGATTGAGAACTGAAATGTATAGATTGGGAAAGTACCGAAAGTTACAGAATGAAATTTTACTTGTTGACTAACAGATATGGCACTTGTACATCTTCACAAGTAATGTGGGCAGTTTCTTTTTCTAATCTTGGTATTCCTTGTAATAAACATGACTTTGTTCGCATCTTAATCTCTATTGCCATTTCATGACTAGTAAATGGCGTGGGAAATATCATGGGTTGGGCAGGGTTTTTTTTTTAATGGTGTCTGTACATGAAGGCTGGACTCCAACCGTTCTCTTGCCCTACCACTGCAACCCAAGATTAGTTTGGCAGGAGGAGGATAAAGTCTCCCTTCACTTTTGCATATTTCTCTACTCTCTCCCTGTCTCACATCGTGCTGACTACTCTTTACTTCATTGGGCAAAAATAATATACATGATGGTGCTGATGCAGAGAAATTTTACTCCCTGTAGGGTGCTTCTATTTTTTTTTTAAATATTATGCTACCCGAGAGGAAACATTTTAGGCAAATGATATAATCTTGAATACTCTTCTGTAGAAAGGTAAAGTAAAGGTAAAGGTTCCCTTGCTCGAAAGCCAGTCGAATCCGACTCTAGGGTTGCGGTGCTCATCTCCGTTTCAAAGCCAAAGAGCCAGCGCTGTCCGAAGACGTTTTCCGTGGTCATGTAGCCGGCATGACTAAACACCAAGGCGCACGGAACGCTGTTACCTTCCCACCAAAGTGGTACCTATTTATCTACTTGCAATTTCTTGCTTTCAAACTGCTAGGTTGGCAGGAGCTGGAACTAGAGACAGGAGCTCACTCTGTCATGCGGCACACTCGGGTCTCGAACTGCTGAACTACCGACCTTCCACAGCTTGCAGTTCAGCATCTTAACCACTTGAGCCACCGCAGCTCTGTAGAAAAGGAGATAGTAAATGGTGGCTGTTGAAGAGATGGTACTTGGTGAGGCTGTAGCAGGGATAGGAAGGAGGTAGGAAGGAGCTCCAAGTCCCAGCCAGATAATTCTCAGCCTCCCCCACATCGTCCTCGCCAAAACCATTTAATTCACTTCTGTTCAGTTCGATCTTATCAGCAAGACAATATGCTTGAGCACAAGAAAAACAAATTATCTTGCTACATATATAATAAGTTGCCTGACTTTCTAATTTCCTGCTACTCTGGATTGCTAGAAGGAAAAATGCATTTGGAAACAATGATATTATTCATGATAGTGCTCATGCTTAAACAGATCTTACAGTGCAATCCTGTGCAGAGTTACTCCAGTCTAAGTCCATTGAAATGAATGGATTTAGATGGGAGTAACTCTCTTTAGGATTGCAATCTCCCATTTACAGTGATATAAACAAAGACATTTAAAAACTGATTTATACATCATAAAGTCAATGTTTATTATCTGAAGATAAACACGAGCAGTGTAATCCTAAACAGAGTGACACCTTTCTCAATCCATTGGATTCAGTAGGATTAGAAGTCTATATCTCTGTTTAGGGTTCATCTAGAGTCACATTTTAGCCCCTATATTCTTCCCTACTTTTTGTACATAGAAATCCCAGTTATTCTCATCTCCCACTGGAACGTCTCTGCCTGTCTTTCAATATTTATATTTAATGACCAAGTAATGAAGAGTTTCCGGTGACAAATACTGAAACCTCTGATTTGGTTTCTTTCAGGTTGCCATGAAACTGAGCAGTGAACTCCTTTTAATTTCTCTTGAAAGCAACTTTCTTCCATAAATCAAGTTGGCTGAATAGAAGATTCGTTTTTGCATCCTTCTAATATTGAAGAATTGTTTAATTTAATTTTAAAACAAAAACATTTCTGTTATATAATATATATTTATATACCAAGATAATTATTCAAATTAAATTATTGTATATTCTTTTTATATGCAGTTCTATTTCAAATAAAATGTGACAGCATCTATTTATTTATTTATCTTCTAGCATACCTGTGAAATATGACCCATGCTATTTATCTTGGCGATATTGCCAAATCTCGGGGATTACACTAAATTGCTGCCTATCAAGGCATATCTGTAAGATATGGTGTGCTGTGCCTTGATGTAAAACATTTAACTGACAATTGTATAGTATGTTTCAAAGATACTTAAATATTGTATCATTTGTGAATTTATGCAAGATTAAAAAAAGTATTTTAGATACACATGGATTGAGAAACTGCTCTTTCATTTAAACTTTTTTATTGTTAGTTATTATGTAGTTTTGTGAAGTAGCTGGGAAGGAGGGACCACTGTTGGATCCAGAATCAAGACGGCTTTGGTCAATTTCAATAGGGCACTTTGGTGATTTACTTAATTATTGACGCTCAGAGGTCATTTCGGGGCGGATCGCGGGGGATCGCAGTTCCCCCGGGTGAGGTGCGGGGGGCGGGGCACATGATGAAGCCCCGCCC